AATGCTAGAGCAGCAGCTGCCAAAGGCCGTTTTAGCCACCTAGTGGATTACTGGCTGTGCACACGTGTGAGAAGGACCATCTCCCACAAAAATATTTGAGAATCATTCTATTAATGACTATTAAACACAGCATTTAATAATACGCTGCAGAATTTGGGTACTACTAGATGATTTTTTTGTTGTAATGAAATGCTAGTGAAAATTGCAATTAAAATTGCATTTTCCAAACTTTCCTCCATTTCCTGATAGCTCTGTTTATAGCTATGGCATGACAAGCAAAATAATGAATTTGGGAGCTAAGGCCATGGAGTCAACTGTAAACTCAAGCCCCAAGTTAACATATGTTGGTTGGTACTCTCTGATGGCTATATTTGGTGAACATAAATGAGCTCATTGGAATTTATACCAGTTGTTTCTGCTTCTTCTGTAAGAGCTAGCTGTGGCCTTGTCATTTTTTTAGCTTTCTGATATGTGTACTGTAGTAACTGGATTTTTTCAGCTTTACCTCCTTTCTTCTGTTAGCTGAATTGCTTGGAATGGTTATCATCCATTTTGTTGACCTGGACTTGAGTTTCTACCCATGTGGTACTTTACCCTTCATTACTGCCCACTGAACTTACAGAAGTGTTGCTCATACCATAGCACAATGCAAAAATCTGTACCTAAATTACAAGAGTTCCATTAACTACTTAAAACCCCCACTTCTCCACACAAATGCAGTCCTCCTGCCAAGGTTGGAGCCCCCTCTTTCACTTGAAATACAATTGAGCTTTGATTGAATTTTGCAATAATCAATGTGTTTAAACATGGACTATTTCACCCAACACATCCAGCCTCCAGGTGACAGTTCAGGGAAGTTAACAGCAGCAGGGAATTGGCACCTTTGAATGCAGCAGGTTTGCTGCTGTACTGATGTTTGCAATAGTAGTTTTTATTATTACATGATGCCAACAATGTTGAAAAGTTTTAGCCAACAGCTCTATGGTGTTCAGAGGTAATCAGTTTATGCTTTACACTTCTAGAAGAGTTTCCATTAAATTTTACTAAGCTCAACATACCTTAATTCTTACTTGTTACAGATATGTTCATATAAATTGTTTTGCCATTTGTAGCATTTTATGATGAATAATCTATTGATGAGTAACTTGATATGTATATGTTAAATTGGGTCAGAAGATTTCATGGGGTCTGTGGTTAGTCTGGCTGTTGCTTATCTGAGGGTATCTGGATCTTACAGTGTCGTATGTCAGAATTCATAATCTTCCCGCATTTGCTATGGCAATCTCATGATTGAGGAGAGTTATCATTTGGTTTTTTTCCTCCTCTAACAACTGCTATGAGGAATTTCTATTATGATCAGAAGGTGGAATACAGATTGTTTATACTGTGAATTCCTTCACTTTCCGTTATATACTGATTATGCTTCTAACACTACAGAGTATGTAAATTTCATCAGAAAGATCCTCAGAAATACTTGAAATTAAGAAATATTTAAGAAACTTTGTACAACTATTCTCTTGTTTTCAAAAAGTCATTTAGGAATAATTTAATCTTTAGCCAAATTTAGAAAGTAGTATTTTGGTACCATAATATAAATCTGTACGCAGAGCCATCGTAAGCTTGAAAAACCATTTTTATTAACATACAAAAATGAGTAAGGAAAATAGACATTGTAATTAAACATTTGCTTTCATCTACAAATAAGTACCTTGAGTAATGAAAAAATAAAATAACTTCTTAAGTTCTTGTGAACAGTTAGAAACAAAGGGAAGAATTTTCTGAAATAAAAGCAAAAGAAACTTCTGAAATAGAAAATATTTGGCAATATCTTTTAGTCACCCAATAAAATATCCATGTAAACAAGTCATTCATATTTACAATATCTTTTGCAATATTCTTGGTAACATGTAGCAAGAAGTGCACATGTAATTACTGTACATTCAGTTTTAAAATCTAATTTGCACCATCATCTCTCAGTTTCATTCATGTTGTGCTTCTGTGCATAGTACTAAATGACAGCATGGAAAAACATTCTTTTTCCCCAGGCATCTTATAAAGATAGCACTTTTTATGTCAGGTTTTGTAACTTCCTGTGATTAACAGGAACCCAAACGTGCAACGTAAGCTCTTTAATCACACCCCCATAAAAACAAAAAGGTAGATTTCCAAACATGCAGAAAAATCTTGAAAAAAAAGCTAGAGTTCTACCTTCCATTTCTCTTTGAAAACACACTTTTTTATTTCCTGTGTTGCTACTGTTACCCATAAATACAGGTAAGAAAAGTTGCGTGAAAGGAAGGTTAATGAAAGGCCACTTTGAGAAGCAGATTTAGAACTATTACTCTCCAAAGGCCAATGTATTTTTATTTAGCACTTGAACTAACTTCATATTTTCTGAGGATATTTAAAGGCCTTTTTAATCAGTCTAGAGCAAAGCCAAAAGTCTATAGTTCTTTTGGTCTTTCTTAAATTGCACACACCAAGGTTGAGCAAGTCTTAGGGGCTCACAGCTACTGGGGATCTGTCTCATGGGCACCTCCCAAAGAGCAGCAGCCAGAAGGCCACAGTTCATGCACAGGAGATATCACTGATGATGATCATTTCCCCAGTGGAATCTTCCAGCTTTCACTGAGCTTGGTTAACCTCTAAGTTAGAAATCAAACATATGTTCTGGCAGACTCCCCTCAAGAGGTTGCTAATCCTCAATTTTCAGCTAGTTTTATATTGTTGGAACAGAGAAGTAAAGAAATGCCACCTTTCTTTTTTCAAGTATCATTCCCCTTGAACAGTACATGGAATAAAATGGAAACCAGAAGGCACACTAGTTACCATAACTTAACTGTAACAGCATATAGAACCATTCACCTAAAAGCCATTCACTTCAATTCACCCAAGTCAGTACTGGAACAAAAGAAGTTCTAGATTTTGTGGGGCTTTTCCCAGTATACTGGGAAAGTACAGTTAGTTTCTTCCTGAACAATCCTTAGGCAACTGACTGCCTTCCATACAAACACACACTTTTATTACATGGCTAGTATTATGCAGAGATTGAATGAGCTCATTTTCACAGGTGGATGAGAGAGTAACTGGCCAATCCATAACAACTTAAAATGCTGTTGACTGTGTGAGTGCTGTAAAGACTGCATAGTAAATGACTAGGACAGGTGAGTTCATTTATTCACTTCCCCTATCACACTTCATTGCTTGATTCATTGCACATGGTGGGACTGGAGGAGTGCTCACACTGTAATTTAGCATTCTGTCTGTCACACCTGAATTCTACAGTAAGGCACTTAAAAGCAGGGATTTTCTTCAATGGAGAAAAAACCACACCAATGCTTGGTTTTCTGGAGAAAAAACCACACCAATGCTTGGTTGGTTCCAGTCATCCACAAATATTTAAGTGAAAACACCCAACTCTGGGATGTAGTCCTGGAATACCAAATGGTACAGCAGAAAAGCTTTTAAAATATTTTACTATGTTAGCTTTCTCTACTGCATCCACCAAATCACTGAACATTATTACAAATCAAATAACAGGAACTGAAGTGCTTCTTGTCAGGGAACATCCAGAGTAACTCACATCCAAAACAGTTTGTACTAACACAATCAACTACAAAAATTGTGCATTTCTTAAAAGTTTAATGTGTTTAAACATTTTTAAAAGCTGAAGTAGATAGACATTTATGTAGTGTTAAAAAATTAGGAAATTATATGCTGTCTGAAACTGTCTACATTGCAACATCAGCAGTGGTAAATTTGGACTTGTAGTGGGCTCTGCAGCTTTTTCAAGAGATTATAATAGAAAGGCTCATAATTTTGGACATGTGCAGTCAAAATCTACTATAATTATTCTTTTATAGTAGTAGAAATAGAAATACTGTTATATCTGTGAAATTAATGAATGAGCATAATACATTAATACTTCAATAACTAGAAAGAGCTAGGAAAAGTGCCAGTTGAGACTCAGATTTCAAATTAAGAAGTCATGGAATTTGTATAGTTTGCTTATGGACATCTTTAAGTATGTCTTCATGCCTGTGACAATAATGATTTTGACATCAATGTGGAGATACCCAAATCAGCTTTCAGTTAACAGGTAACATTTTAATCACATCAGCAAATCTCAGCTGTTTCCTAGAGAAAGCCTTTCTCACTTCAGGGTCCTTCTCTTCTGTGAAACTGAGAGCAGTTTTTTCTGGTTTTTTAACCTCCTAATTTCTAGGCTAGTGCCATAATCAACAGAACAGCGCAATCAACTAATGACAGTAAAATGCTGCCTTCTGGGATGAAGGGAAGACTTGGTTTAAGAGATACACATTTTTCTAAGTGTGTTGCTATACCTTTTCAAATAAGACAAATTCTGCATTTGGATGTCTTACGATCTCCTTAGATTTCAATAATGATTGCACATAATCCAAAGCCAAATGTTGTCTGTATACAATATACTTGTTAAAAAGTCTACAGATATGTTCTGATTGGGGAAAAAACCCAACCAACATAAGGATTTAAAGGAAATAAAAGATTTAATGATGATATCAAGCAAACTTTTGGGTTTTTTTAATTAAAAATTTTAGACTACATGTTTTTATGGTGCAGCTCTGCAAAGTGCTGAATTACCTCAAATCCCATAGATCTTAACAGCTGGTGAGGGGGTTAATCAGCTAGAGATATCAGAGCTTTAAAAAAGTGAACATTACCAGAAAACATGCAAAATCACTCAGAGCAAAATTTAGTCTCAATCTGGTTAATTTTTCATGGCTTAAAGAGATATAAGCATTAAATTAAGATGTGATACGGAGAACATTCTCCAATTATGTGAATCTCCCATTCATGATTTCATTCATGCTCTCATTTTTTAAAGGAGAACCAACAGGATATGTTTAAATTCATCTGCAGAAAAACTTGAGTATCTTTGAGCAAGCCAGAAAATAAAACCCCAACCCATTTATCTATCAACATAACTAAATGAGAAGGAACTGAGGAGTGAGGGGGGATTTGGCAGTATAATAGTAATTTTATTCTGTGTATTTTCTTTACATGGTTGATCTTTGGCCTGCTTCATCAAATTTGAGGTTTTGTTTTCTGGCTGCTTCGGAATTGATCCTCAGATCAGGTTTATCCACGTTACTGCTGTTTGTCATTGTGGATTCCACTTCTGTGCCTTCAGGAGTCTCTCCAATGGGCCGCAGAACTTTAGCGTTCTCTTCGGGGGGTCGCTTCCAGTGGGGCCTGCTTGCCATCCACAAAATGAGTGAACCAAATATGACAAGCAAAAGACCAAGACAGTTGACAAAAGTTGCTTCTGGTGGGGATGCACTGTATGCAGGACTTTTCCTTTGAAAGGGGAAAAAGAAAGGCAAGGTCAGTTGTTTCAAAGACAATCCTGGTCGAAAACCAGCAGTCTCCTGCTGGGTAGGTCTTTTGAAAATGAACCAATGTCCCAATACTAGATGCTTATTATTCTGTGCACAGGCAATGAATAAGCTGAATCAACAATTGGGAAAAAATACTTACAATGAAAATATAAGCTTTTCTGTGATTCCCATGAGAGCTGTTGCAATCACTGTTGCAAAGATGGTCAAACCCGAATAAACATGGATTGGCATGAGAACTGCTCGGAGATGCACAGGAGCAAAAGGGAGCAGGAAGACAGCGAAACCCAAGAAAAGCTAAACACAAAACATATTCATGGTTAAAGCTGTATAAGAAACAAGCTGCACTTCTCAAGCAGAATAAAAATAATCATAAAAATTCCATTTTGAGATGTCTTCAGGTAAAAATTTGAGAAGAATTGCCATTTTCTATTTCTTTCAAAACTAAAGCAAAATTCTGGCTTAGCACTTGGGAAGCAGACATTAAGTATTTTATAAAAAACCCTACCTTACATCACTGTCCAAATTTACTGGTAATGCTAAAACTACAACCAAACTAACTACTGGAAACACAAGTTTTCAGTGTCACTAATTCAGTCACATATTAAAGGTGTGCATAACTACATTTTTACAGTCTCTTCAGGTCCTGAGCACAGTCTCTTCAGGTCCTGTTATCTGCTCCTGTTACAGATTTACACATCAGTGAAGACCAGGAGGCAGTCTAACCTTCTGACTTGAGTGGATTAAATATTTTTACTTTGTTAACGAGTTTTAGTTAAATGAAAATACATATTTTTAGAAGGGGAAGGGTCTCAGTATCGGTCAGATGGCATTTACAGAGTGCAGATGTGTACGGGTGGTGTGAAGTTCTTCAGGGGACACTACTCTTCCCATTTGTGCTAATTTGTGATGGAAACTAATCCATCATGTCACAGGCTGCAGTCACAGGCTTGCCCAGTCACACTGCATCCCTTCTTTAGTTTGTTCTACTGTTACCCACCCCTGCTGCTAAATTAGAAATAGTGCATGAATTTGTATTACATCTTGCTTTAACTTCCAGTCTTAGTCCTTGTTTTGTCTTTCCATGATGGATTAAAGAAACTGATATTTTCTCCCTGGGAAGCTTTTTAATACACTGTAATCAAGTCATCTTTTAATCTTCCTTAGATCTGCTAAACAGTTGGAGCATTTTAAGTCTTGCACTGGAAGATAGTTTTTCCAGCTCTCAAATTACTTTTCCAGAATTTCTTTGCTTTTTTTTTTGCCCTGGTCATTCTTTTTATATTTAAGAAACAATTTGTTCCACAGTGTTTCATATTAGTTTCACTAGTGTTTTACATGGAGGTGAACATAATCTTGTTAGTGTTGTCACACCATTGTGAGAACACTACTGTTCCTGTAGGCATAGCATTATGTCAGCAATCCCTCCGCAGTAATTTTGTAATTCCAAGACTGACATGCCATTTCTGGCAAATGCCAAGGATCTTCTCCATTAACAGAGATACAACTTCATGACTGTGCTCAGTCACATAAAAAGCATCAGTCTCTGACTGGAGACTTCAGCACAGTTTGGAGGAAGTTGATGGGACAGGCAAGTCATTAAGTGCCATTGATCACGTTTATAGTAGCAAAAGTAGAAGTAAGATCTTATTCACAATTCTTTATTTAACCATTAGAGAAAATGCTGATACTCAGTGTAGTTGCAGCACAGATTTCTCTGAAATACCTGCATTGTTAGGACAAGGAATATCTTTACATTGTTCCTTTATTAATTTATATTCATTGTTATTAATTTGTTCAGCTATAGAACATACACTCAACAGTGCTGCAATATGCTTTCTTTTTTTTCTAAGTTCTAAAAACACTGTTTCCACACTATTTCCTGTACCTCCTAGCCTGAGCAGTGAAGGATAAAAGTCCAGAACCCAAATCCCTCAGCAGAGAATTTTCTGTGCATGATCACAATAATTAAGTCTTTTTCCTTTTTAGTGTTTTGGTAAAAAAAAAAAAAAAGAGTATTTGAAGGAACAGAATTTATTTGCATAGTGTAATAACACACTGTAGGAAATTCAGAATGCATATACAGCAAGATCACATCTGTGTGTGTACTGTCAATGTCAGGGCATGCCTGCTCTTCTCTGCCAAATACAAAACACACTAAGTTAGCTCATTTTACATTAGGATAGCACTAATTCTCTGCCAACAGGAGCAGCTAAAAGCATGTCTCTGAACATCTATCAAAACTGTGCCGATTCAGGAGAACTGGTTAGCCAGGAGGAGCTCATCCAGATGTCAGATCCTTTAGATCTCTGCTGCTCCCTGCTGCACTTGTTCTGCTGATAAACGAAAGTCTTGAGGCTAAGAAGTGACTACTTAAAATTATGACAGCTGAAAAAAAAATTAAAGCAGTTACCTTATTTGAGACTTCCTTAGTGAACGCACTAACAGTATTTAAATGTGCTGCCAACAAACCAAGTAACTTGCTTTAACTTCAGGAGACAACAGAGCTTTGAAACACACAACTGTGTAACTATAGTAAATCAATGGCCATTGTCCCAGCAAATAAACAAATATTCTTTAAAGTGCAATTTTCTTTAAAGTCAAGGATCCAGTATTTGCACATTTACATGCTAATTTGGCAAATCACAGAGTGAAAAATGGCTATCTCAGTAGTTAACTAGCGAGGGCCTATTGTGCCTGAATTATTCAATACATCCTTCAAATTTACAACCTGTTTATAAATACAGTTAGATTCTGACCTGGAGACAATAAAATATAACAGCAGTCAGCCCAATCCAGCTGTGCAGACTGTACATGTTAGGAATGTTCTTGGCATTGTGGAATTCAAACACGGCTACCATAGAAACAATTGCAAGAATCATAGCTATGGTATTTAATCCAGCATGTATGAACTTCATTAGGAGTTTGCTGCACTTCCAGGTCCATGGCAGTCTGTACACAATAATAGCTGCAGAAAGAACAGAAACAAGATTTTATGCCTTGTAGGATAACTTCTCTCAGATGTTAATAATCATGCATAATTCACATAGTTCCACTGTAAATTACAGCAAAACCGAACCTTTAATTCTCTAAAAAATGTCTGTTAAAAGGCTTTTCCTCATACACATAGCACAGCATATTCCAGATATACAACTGATGCTTAAATAGAGCTTTCTGGGAGATTTTTTTCCTAATTAAAAAAACCCTCAAACTTAAGTGTGTTTCAAAAAAAGAACACCAAACAACTTTGTGTCATCTTTTCCTCAACCACTAAACTGATGCAACTGGGATTCTGCATGGGACTGTGATTTTTCTGCTACTAATCAGACTGGAGGAATAGGACCTGATTCTCATATCAAGATCACTTGTTGAGAAAGTGTGAGACGATTTTCTAATAGTCTCTTTGCCAACTTTGAATAATGCTATTCTCTAGTTTCATAGATATTGCTGTGACTGTCTGTTGCATTGATACTAGGACCACTTGAAATGGGAAAATGCTTCTGAGCATAACCACAGTCTGAATCTTAAGAGACAAAAGCATTTTGCCAACACAACTCTTCCACCACTGTTAGATGAATGTAGTGGGGGGTTGCCTATACTTGCATTAATAACTCTAGCAGACAATGTTTTGTCCAGTCTCAACGAAACAGCAATAACCAATGATCTAACTCCAGATAGTCCATAAGAATAACTTAGCCTAGAGCTGCTTCTCGCCAAGCTTTCTTCAAGATCCCCACTGCCCTTTCTCTTCCACAACTGTCCCCTGCCTGTCATATGGCCCAGCTGGTTTCCACAGGAGACAAAACCAGACCAGATTAGATCACTGAAGCCCCAGGTACATCTGATTGCAAACTAGGTAGTAATTCAGGATGTGTGACAGCGCATAAGTATATTCAGATAACAGGGGACAAATTTCTGAGGACAACTGATAACCTGACCAACAAGGCTAATGCCTACATCCATGTTTTGCCTGAGCAAAAAGACTGAGCTCCACTCAGTGATTCATCACATCTTCATTTAAGGTTTCTGCTTATGAAATTACATTGAAATCTTTATATATAATTAGCTATACTAAACCAAAAGAATAATAATTAATTTCAAAGTTCTGTTTACATTTTTTACTTGAATGCATGCCAGTAAATGCAGTACTGCACTGAAAAATTCACAAAGAAAACACTGCTCACAAGTGAGATTTCCAGACTGTGATCAGATTTTACATCAATGTATGCTTTTACACACTGTGTGAAAATATAATACTGGAATTAAAGTGTCCTTTAGAAAATCCGAGAGGAAATGGTTGGAGATC